AGCAAGAACCTGTCTCAAAAAGACTAAATCAATCAATCAATCATAGTGCCCATATAAATAAACTCTTGATACTGGACAAAAGTTTAACAGTATCTGGTAATTCCTATGTTAACTGAAAAACATCACAGATGTACTGACATCCTTTTCCTTTTATTTATTTATTTATTTATTTTTTAGGGTTTTTTTTTTGTTTGTTTGTTTGTTTTGGTACCGGGAATTGAAATCACAACCTTGTGCTTGCTAGGCAGGTGCTTGTGCTGCTGAGCTATATCCCCAGCCCTATCTTTTCCTTTTATATTGGTACAACCTTGTATAATTTTGCAGATAGTTTTATTATAGTCATTATTGTAGCAGGTAGTCTGATGAAAAGACTATACTCAATTTTGAAAGTTCAACAACTCTCTGAATATTTTAAATTAAATCCATTATCAATGAAAAAAACTACTGACATAATTTTTTGAAAAGGTCTTTTTTGCAATTTCTATAATTACTCATGGCAGTAAAATAATTCTCTCAGGTTAAGGCAGTAAAAGGGCAATGCAACTCCCATTGAAAGTGCTCTAAGAATAGTTTGTATTTCATCCAAGGTACATATTCCTTATGTTTGTTAATGTCTTTGTTACTTAGAACTACCAAGAAATACATTATGAAACTACAGAAATGATGTACCCCACAAAATGCTTTTCAACTTGGTTCTTCTTTTGAGACAGGCAGGGTTTCACTGTGTATGCAGTTCAGGCTGGCCTTGAACTCAATGTATAGCCCAGGCTGACCTCAAGCTGTGGCAATCTTCCTGCCTCAGCCTCTAGAGTGCTGGAATTATAGGTGTGCACTATGATGCTCAGTTTAAACTTGGTTCTTGGGGCTGGGGATTTAGCTCAGCGGCACAGCGCCTGCCTGGCAAGCACAAGGTTGTGAGTTTGATTCCTGGTACCGGAAAAAAGCCAAAAAAAGAAAAACCTTGGTTTTTTTGTACAATTAGTCCCTATTGTCTCTAGTAGTAAAATAACTCAATACGGTTTGGCAAAAGTGCATAGATCAAATGTAATTACCTTTTCTTTTCCCATTCCCCAATCTACAAATGTACTGAGACATATAGTAAAGGACAATATATTTAGTATTTCCATGAAGTCCACCATGAGCAATTGTGAAGTTTAAATTCTACAGTGTTTTGCTTTTTGTTATTTTAATTTTGAGACTGGATCGTGCAAGTTGCCCAGGCTGGCCTTGTCTGAACTTGCAGTTCTCCTGCCTCAACCTCCCAGAGTACTTGGATTGCAGGCGTGTGTCACCCACCCAGCTGTGACTGATATTTTTTAAGAAAACAACCCTCAGTGTGGGTTTGCCTGATGTTTCCTCATGACTGGATTGCAGACCTGCATTTCTGAAGGCAGAAATCCCACAGACGTGATAAATTTCTTTTCACTGTGTCCTATGAGAAGTATATGGTGGCTCAAATGTCTACAATCCCAACTACTCAGGAGGGTGAGTCAGGCTCACCCTAACTTCAAGGCCAGTCTGGGCAACTCAGCAAGATCGTGTCCCAAAGTAAAAAAATAAAAGATGAGCTGGGGATGTAGCTCAGTGGTATAGTTGCCTAGCATTCACGAGGCCCTGGATTCAAACCTTAGTATCAACCACACAGGTAAAGCGCATACTGCTGGGACGCCTCATTCCTGAGGAGGCAAACTTCCATTCTTGAGTTCAGCTGGGACAGGCTAGACCTCTCCACTGTGAAGTAACTAATCTCCTCCTTTGTAACCAGTATGTATCTCTGGGTAGATACTTTGAGATACTGTACACATTTGTTTCTCATTCAAACTTTTAGCCCCTAGTTTTAACATCTACTGGTGGTTCTTGAGCTAATTATTATTGTGAAGCACCACAGGGTGATTTTCTATTTCCATCATTCCTTATTTATTTCTGGTTCTCTGACACAGGGTCTCACCGTGCAGTCCAGCCTGGTCTTGAACTCAGTACGTAGCCCAGGCTGGTCTCTTAACTCATGGTGATCCTTTTGCCTCAGCCTCCTACATACTGGGATTCCATTGTGCACCATTGTGTCAAATTAGTGAAAGAATTTTGTACTACCATGCCCATTGTGCCCAAGGCCTTGTACTCTATCACTGAGCTACAACCCCTCAGCTCCCTCAACAATAATAGTTATTATTATTATTTTGAGGCAGGGTCCCTCCCTCAATAATAATAATAGTTATTATTATTTTGAGGCAGGGTCCCTGCCTCAATAATAATAATAGTTATTATTATTATTTTGAGGCAGGGTCACGCTTACTTCAGGCTAGCCTTGGACTCACTATGTAGCCCAAGCTGGCCTCAAACTTATAACTCTTGTCTCAGCCTCCCAAATGCTGGCATTACAGGTTGCACTACCATCCCCCGCTCCCTACAATCATTTTATAGTGGCATGGAATCATGGATATTTGTTTTATTCTATGGTTTGAAATTTATCATTATTTATTTTTAGCTTAAATCACCTCAGATTTGGCCCTGAAAAGCCCACTCAGGTTGGCTCCTGCGTCCTTGTTTTGCCCACACAACTTTCTAAGCAATTTCCCATGAACTGTTCTAGGCTCACCTGTGCCCCTCCCTCTGCTGCCTTGAAACCCTCACTCCTCCAACACCGACTGCCATCTTTCACAGAAAATTACACAGGCTGAGAATCCCTAACCTGAAATGCATGGGAACAGCAGCGTTTCAGATATCAAACTTTTTTATTTTGGAATATTCGTATAAGCTATCTTGAGAGATGGGATCCTGGTCTAAGCACAAACTTCTTTTTTTATTCTCTACATTTTTTCTTTCTTTCATTTTGAGACAGAGTCTTTCTGTGTGCTCAGATGAGAGAAACTCTTGGGCCCAACAGATCTTCCCGCCTGTGCAGCTGGAATCACAGGTGTGCACCACTGCACCCAGCCATTTATATTTCATGTATACCTTGTATCACATAATTTGATGGCAATTTCATATAGCATTTTTAGTAATTTTGTGCATAAGAAGCTGGGTGAGGTGGTGTAGGCCTGTGATCCCAGCACTCAGGAGGCTGAGGGAAGAGGGTCACTGTGAGTTCTAGGCCAGCCTGAACTACATAGCAGGATTCTGTCTCAAGAAAAAAAAAAAGTGTGCCTCAACCATGTCTACACTGGGGCTGCGGATGTGGCTCAGTGATAGAACTCTTGCCTTGCACTCATAAGATCTTGGGTTTGATCCCCAGCACCACACACACACACACACACACACACAAAACTACATTGAATCAGCACAAGTGCTGCAGTTTAGATGTGGTTTGCCCCTAAAGATTCATGTGTCAGAAGCTTGGTCTTTAGGATGGCAGTGTCAAGTGGTAGACTCTTTAAGAGGCGGGACTAGGTCACGGGGGTTCCACCCTCATGAATGGATTAATGCCCACCCCACAGGAGTCAGTCAGGTCTTGTGACTGGATTAGTTCTTGAGAGTAGACTGTCATAAACTTGGTCCACTGTCAGTCCCTTTCATGCACAGCTAGTTCCCTTTCCATTTCCCTGACATTTTACTGCACAGCCACAGTGCCCACACTCAAGTTAATGATATGCCATCTACTCGGACTTTCCAGCCATCAGAATCAGGAGCCAAATGAACTCCTCCTTCTTCTTTTTTAAAAAATATCTTACCCCACCTCAGCTACTTTTGTTATAGCAACACAAAATGATCTACAATTCGGGGTCAGGTGTGGGATTTTTCACTTGTGGCATGAGGCTGGTGCTCAGAAGTTTCAGATTTGCTGAGTATGCTGGTGCATGCCCGTAATTCCAGCACTTGTGAGGCTGAGGCAGGAAGATCGTCACAAGTTCTAGGCTGCCTGGGATACATAGTGAGTTTAAAACCAGCCTGAATTTCAGAGAAGACCCTGTTTTAAAAAGAAAAACAAAAACAAAAAACAAAAAACTGTTTCCTGGTGCTATCTCATACACCCACACTCATATTTCTATGTGTACTGTATATTAATAAGCCTGTGTTCATACTTGTTAAATCCAATTTCAACTCAACATTATAGAGTTTATCCCAGCCATTCCATTCCATCCTATTCCCAAGCTTTATAATTTTTTTCTTTAATAGGCTGGCCTCAAATTCACGGTCCCCCTACCTCAGCCTTCCAAATGCTGGGGTTACAGACATGCACCATCACAACAAGCTACATTTGATAATTTATATTATACCTTTATTTGTGTGTCCAAGGGTGTGTGATACTGAGGATTAAACCCAGAGCCTTCACACTTAGCAACATCCCCCACCCATTTATTTATTTATCTGTTTATTTAGTTTGGTTTTGGTTTTGGTTTTGGTTTTTTGAGACAGAGTCTCGCTATGTCAGTCAGGCTGGCTCTGAACTCCTCCTGCCTCTGCCTCTTGAGTGCTGGGATTACAGGCACGCACCTCTACGCCTGGCGTATTTTTTGTTTTGAGACAGGATCTTGTTAAATTGCCCAGGCTGGGCTGTAACTTCTAATCCTTTTGCCTCAGCCTCCCAGAGTGCTAGGGTTACAGGCGTGCACCACCATGTCTAGCTTCAGTTCTTAACATCACATGTAGAAATACAACACAATTTTCACAAAGAGACTCACCACTCCATACACAACAGCTGCTTCACATAACTGATACCTTTTTTTACTACATAAATGATTCTTCCCTTTGTGTGTCTGCTGTGACACAAATGTTTCACAAGATCTTCAACAGAGCTGGGCGTGGTGGCGCATACCTGTAATCTCAGCACTTGGGAGGCTGAGGCAGGAGTCTGAGGCCAGCTTGGGCTACACAGTGAATTCAAGGTTAACCTAGACTATATATTGAGACCCTGTCTCAAAAAACAAAAACAAAAATAAATAAAGTGTGAAGAATAAGTCATAAGCTATCTATCAGCTTATCTATATTTTATCACCAGGAGTATTATTATGCAAAGCAGGTATTCACACTCCACTCATCTGAATTAAGATCTCATTTCTTACCTGACTTGGGCTGATCTTTTCTTCAGCAGCTGTGGAATGTTGATGTGGGTCTTTCCTTGCTCCCTCACCAGGGTCTCTGTTTACTTCTGCCTGTTCCCCTTGATCTCTGAAGACCTTTAGCTCCATGCTCTTGGTTTTCTCTTCCCTATCCAAGATCTCAGAAGCCATGGAACCTCCTGCAGTGGGGTCCACTAGTCCACACCACCCAGGCTCACCCCTATTATCCAAGGTCTCAGAGGTTTCTTCACAACAACTTTCTGCATGGGTCCTCTGCAGTTCCAAGGGTAATGCTCTACTCTGGCTTACAAGAGAGCTTGAGGCTCCAGGTTTTACATCTGGATTCACACTTGGCTCAGGGTCAGCATGAAGCTCTTTGGAGACACTTACTGGGAGTTCAGAGTATAATTCCTGTACCACAGCAGACATGGAGGAATCATGTAGAACTGGCCGAGTCTCTACTCCAGATGACAGCATTAGGGCAGATGTAGATTATGGAGTCAAGTCTTTTACATCAAATGGTTCACCCTGACACAAATCAAAGGAAGGGATACAAGTTTAAAACCTTGACAGGGTAGAAGAAATCTATCTCCGTTCACTTCACCTTAAATAAGGAAAAACTCTACGTCAAATGCTAGCATTATCTGGCACCAAAAATTTCTCCTTTATCAGGCTGTGAGCTGGGCCTGGTGATACACATCTGTAATCCCAGCACTTGGGAGGCTGAGGCAGGACGATGGTGAGTTTGAACCTAGCCCGAGCAACTTTTGATACAGTAATGATGCTGTATCAAAGAATAAAAATAAAAAACAAAACAGATTGACTTTGTGGAAAAATACATACCTGAACTTTTCACAGACATCTGTCTAATCTCAACTCAAACACTATCTTCTGAATAATTCAAAATTTAAATTAGAAGGGCTAGTAAATGTAGAGGAGAGTAAGATATGATTAAGTACACAAGGATGCATTTATGTAAATTAGAAAATAAAATGGTTTTCTACTTGTTTTTAGGGCATGAACTTTCTCTGTTTTCTTCCCTGGTATGTCCCTATTACCTAGAACAGGTGCTTGACACATAGTAGGTATTCAGTAAATATTTGCTAAAAGATGATATACTGAACAACTAAATAATTTTATATGTTTATTTATTTTTTTTTGTTTTTGTTTTTTTTTCCGGTACCAGGAACCGAACTCACGACCTTGCGCTTGCCAGGCAGGCGCTTTTTGCTGCTGAGCTAAATCCCCAGCCCCCTTTTATATGTTTAGTTGTGCTCTTTGAAGGAAGATAAGGGAAAAATGGATATCCATTTCTATACTGCTTAGCAAACACCTGAGCTATGTCTACCCACAATAGCACAAGACGCTACTAACCCAGGTCTTCAGCAGAATCCTTCCTGACTTTAATCTAGCATCTTGAGATTTTCCACGTGCTTTCACAGACATCACTTATTTGACTTACACAATAACCCTCTGATCCAAATAGAGCAGCTCTCATCTTCATGTTATAGATCTTAACCCAACATTTCAGGAGGTTAAAAGTGACCTCCTAAAGGTTGAAAGGTTATAGATCTTAACACCACTCACGAGGAGGTTAAAAGTAATCTGCCTAAAATATTACAGAGAAGGAGGCCAAGCCATTGGGCTTCTACTGTGTTGGTAATTTTCATATTTTGCAACAGCTGCTGAAAACACAGGTTATCTGTTGAATATTTCTATCTAAATAATTCATAACACTATATTTGGGGGCGAGTATCAGGAATCAAACTCAGGACCTCACACTTGCCAGGCAGGCGCTGCGCCACTGAGCTAAATTCTCCATCCCCACAATACTATATTATAAAAGAGATCAAAGCATACACATACTCAGGACCAGGGTTTACTGGCCAGTAACTCTTCCATTTTAGTCCACCAAACATGTGTGGTATGTACAGTGAAATCCACCTTGACCTGACCAAGACAGAAACTGGTTAACCAACTTCATACTTTGATTCTTTAGGTTTTTCTTAACCTCAAAAAGAGGAGAATAGAAGGTAAAATGTAAAGAACCCTTTAAATTTAATTTAATTTAAAGTAAAAGGATCTA